AGTCTTAGCTTCCGTGCCTTGGTATATTCTGCAGTTCCTTTGTATGTGCCATTCAGCCCCACACATCAAGTGCTTTAGGGTTCAGTCTGATGTCACTCCTGCTCTGCCACAAAACATATATTTGCCTGGTTAAATCATCTACACAAGCATTCACTTGATTCACTGGTTCTTGGACATGAGCAGCTCTGACTGGGTGATAAGTATCTATGGATTGCTTGCTGAGCTGCCTCAGAATTCAAAGCATACACTAAAGTACTTTGGGGATCCTTGACATCTACCATTTGCAGAGCCTTCTGTATCTCAGGATACCGAATGCCACTGATGAAGTACTGCAGAGACAGGATTTTCCTTGTTTCAGTTGGGCAGTCTGAAAAGGCCAGATGAGACAGCTTTTGAACATCTGGGGCAAGCTCCTACAGTATTTCCGTGGGCTTCCTATTGGTGAGATTTTTATTGCAGTCTCAGTCTTTTGAACACTTCTCTCTAAACAGCAGCTCCAATGCACTGGACAGAGCTTCACAGTCTAGCTTCTAGTCTTTGGGCAGAGCTTGAAAGATATCTGCTGCAAATACTCTCAGAAAAGCAGCTAGCAGACCTTTGCTTAAAAATCCCATCAATTTGTGTTCACCACCATACAGAACTGCATCTTGTACATTTGCCAGGAGGTCTTTTCATCATATATGGATGGCTTTGCAGAGGGAGAAGAAGGCACTGCTAAAAATTTAAAGATGTCAGAATTATGTCCAGCTGTCACCACAGATATTGTCATGCTGTCAATTTAATTGGTGACAGCAGCAGAAATTCTGTCATCGATTTGTTGTTCAGCAACAGAAACTCTTTCCTCAATTTGTTATTGGACAGCAGAATTTCTCTAACTTTCATTCAACAGCAGAAACTCTTTCTTCCATTTGTTGTCCAGCAGCAGGAATTCTTTCTTCAATTTCTCCAACATTATTTTCAACTGCGTCAATTCTGCCTTTCACAGTCTCAAATTTGTTTTCTATTATGGCAGTAATTTCTCTTTTCATTTCCTCTTGACCTGCTTCAATCTTCTGTTGAACTAACTTGACAGCCCCTTCCATCTTTTCTTTGCCTGTTTTCATATCTCCTTGAACTGACTTAATAGCCCCTTCCATATTTTCTTGGCCTGCTTCCATCTTTTCTTGAACTGTTTCATCTCTTCTTTAATGGAGTTCATGGACCCTTCCATCTTTCCTCGGAATACAACAAAGGCTGTCATCTTAGTTGCTCACCATCTTGTCAAATGCATTCAGTCCAACTTCTGACACCAAAAATTGTTATATGCATACAGGTTCATGATGGACTGAATGTACACAGAACAAATAATAGCTTGATAAAATTTATTTTCACAAAAGAAGTACTTTACAATTCTGTAACTTTTTATACAAGTGTTCATACAGCTTTTCTCATTATGACACAGCACAATCAGAAGTTACACTCCCATGACTTATCAAAATGAAACAACTGTTTTTCCACAAATTACAGCTTATGCCCTACCTTCTTTTTATGTGAACAAATAAGTGAATTCACTGAAACTATCACCTTCGTATCAGTGCACAATTAAAATGGATATAGTTTTACTGTAACTTGTTAAATAAGGACTAGTTAATTACTGTTACGTACATGGGTATGCATGATCATTAAAAGATCTCACACAGCTTCATATGAATAACTAGAAAACTGCTATAATGAAAAAACCCCAAAATTAAATCAAGAATGTGCATAAATCTAAATGAATTCAGAAAGATAGAATTTTAACAATGATCCATCAGCAAATTTCCAGCCACTTACAAAAATACAGTAATTATGCATTCCTTCCAGAATTGAATGATTTGATTTTCTGAAATCTTTACTATTAAAATGTTTCATTTATATAAGCTTCAAATTTTCTAAATGTACATTCCATTCTCTAAAGTTTTAGCCTTTTAAAAGAAGATATTAAATATATATCAATTTAAATCAAGTGGTTGCCTTCAGACTCATGATTAATAGGAATAAAAACGGGGGCAATTGTTCATTGTTAATAAATTAACAAATCACAGTTAATCAGATGGTAGTTAAAAAAATACAGGAAAGAGGAATAACCTGCATTATAATTAGCAGAAAAATACTATTAATAATTTAACTGAGTTTTTAAGCAAATTAATTTGGAGATTAAATTCGTTTGATTGTACAAATTAAATCAGCATTAAAAAAAATGTATACAGAAAGAATAATGTTTTCGTGCATGTTACTCTTATAATTTGATGCAAGTCAAAAAGAAAAGGTGTACAGAAAGGTAATGGAAAAGAAAAGGTTAACAAAATAAGGTTGATGGCTGTATACTTATGTTTTATGAGTTAGCAATTTATGTTTAACAGATAACATTGTCTATATATTGGGATTATGCACAATTAAATGAAATAACGTTGTAGATAAAAACAGTTTCTTAATATCATGATAACTGCTATCACTATGGTTATCCCACACATTTTCTTCTCCTTTTTGCATTTCCCGGAGAAATTTTCCTTCATGCTAATGATTTTTTATAGTAATTTTTCCACCATTTCGCAAATAAAAAAAAAAAATTTACAAGGCACAGTTAATCTACCCTTTCCTCAGTTAACTGAGATAAGAGCTGACTGTACTCTCAGCAATATTAATTTGCCCATCAAAATGAATAAAATCATAGATATGAGTGACAGCGAATGTGAAATGCAAGTAGTTCTAGCATCAGCAATACTTTGGGTTTTTTGTAAAAACATCATCTGCAGTATACTGCAGATGAAGCTATATAAAAAAATGCTTAGCATAAGAAAATTTTATATATGCAAAAACAGTATGCCAGCAATTAGCACCTTGAAAAGGGACAGGATTACCCATTCTCTTATTTTTGATATTTATTGTAATAAAATTACTGTCCTAGTTATGATATCTATGCCCTCCCTTCCCCGAAATATACTTTTCAGACAAATACAGTCAAAAGTCATTAATCCGGACCTCAAAGCTACAAACTTTCTGCGCATGCGTCAACGCATAACGCGTTCATGCATGCGCGCATGCATGTACGCATGCGCATAATGCGTTTATGCATGTGCGTTTAATGTATAACGGACGGTATAAGCTAAGCTAAAATTATCTAATTATCTATTTCAGTTCATGTTGCAGATTGCGTTGTTTCTTAATCTTCAAATTGGATCCGGCTTATTATTTTTTGCAGACTGTTAGAGCAATTTTATAAAAGTAAGCTTGAACTTTCGATTATGTCAAATAGAATTTCTGATGCTGGATACTGCTAAAGGATCTATCTACAAAGCGAAAGCATGTTTCAATATCCATCAAACAAAAAGTGGAATTGCTGCAAAAAATGGAAAAAGGCATATCTTTTGTTTCTCTAACCATTCCCCTCTGCGGGGGAGGAGAGGAACGTTGCAGGTGCAATGAACTGGAAGTTGATCTGTCAGCACTATCCTTATCTTCAGGGCAGATGTTTTTATTTTATTTGGCTTATAGTTCATTACTAAATGTAGTATTTCATCTCGATGTACTCTGTCTTTGATATGATTTAAATCAAGTTCATTATGAATACCAAGAATACACATCAAATAGTTTTCTGGTTGCAATTTTCAAATTTCGACTATGCGTAATGTACTCTTTACGCATGCACGCGTTGAAAGAAATGTTTAATAAAGTAAACAAATAAATATTAAGATTTTTTTTGTAAATTTTGATACCCTTTAGATCATAATTGTTCTTTATTTCATAAATTACGGTTTCATATTTTTAATTTTATAATTTCTGCATGCCACCTTACCAGATTTAAACTGATGATCTATAATCCGGAAAAATCGATAATCCAGAATCGCCGAAGTCCCAACGAGTCCAGATTAAAGACTTTTGACTGTACAAAAAGGTTGAAACATCAGTAAGCTTGTTTACTTGAACTAGACTACTCATGTTCGGAAGATTATTTGCCAATGCTCAGAAAGTTATATAAAAGGTACTTTTTATTGATGACACTCTAGTCACAAAATGTAGCAGCCAGTTTATATCACAACAAGAAAAGGTAAGCAAAGAATAACAATGCAATGTTTACTGTGTGCAAAATCAATGTTGTCCACAATGCTGATTTTGTGCAATATTCTGTAATACCCTTATTTTTTTAATGCGAAAACTGATAGTGGGATCCATGAGGAAAACTAATGTTCAGCATTGTACGCATTAAAAATTATATATATATATATATATTCAAAATAAAGTTCAACTAAATAAAGAATAAAATTCAAATTCAAAATAAATATATAGTCAAAACTGAATTTGTGTTCCTTGGAGATGGTATATGGAAAGTTTTCTTATTCTAAATTAATATATATATATATTATAATACATTACTATCATTAAAAGTTAATTTTTTTTCATAAAAGCTTTGAGTATAAATAAGATTATTAGAGTATTGCAACCATCTAATTAGATTTCGTGGCAAGGTTTATCTCTGATACAAAGTGGCACTTTCTCAACAGAAAAATACCAAGTAAAATTTAAATACAAAAATAGAACAAATTTCTATCAAAAAATCCTAAACAAAAACATGCAAGCTTTACTAAAGACTTAAATTTAATACCTTATATTGGCCCTTTTTAAGGGAAGGTAGGAGGCTGAAGTAGACTGATTCATGAATAAAAATTAGAATAACTACCAATATTTTTCAAAAATAAAATGCACTTTCATTTTTAAGCAGGGGTTTTAGAATTTAATTTGACCAATATTTAATAATGAAATTCATAAAGCAACGGAATAGCCCAAATCCTATTCTTTTTATTACTTCAATTGTAGAAACAGATCTTAAGAACATGCTGCAGAAAGTTTTGCAGGATATTCAATATCTAATAAAGGCTATAAAGACAATTTTGTCACAAATCAAATGGCATCTTGCATCAATGCAGAAATTTTTTATTACAAATCTTAAAATTAAAAACGTTTTTGGAACATTAAATACTTACCCATCAAGACTGCTATTAGGTTGAAAAATAACATATATTAGGAGAGTTCCAAATATGAGACTATAGCTTCCATAGTAAATACAGTTCTCTACAAGTGCTGTTTTTAATTTGCCTGTGATGGTGAAATCACTTGCAGTTGAGTATGACTGCATAAGGGGTAATATGATCCTACAAAAGTACAAAAGTCACAATTTAAATGAATTATTACAAATAATCAATATAATTTTAATAAAAAGATTAATACAGCCTAAATAACAAGTTTTATTTTACTGCATTTCAAAAGTCATGAAAAATATGCAAACTAATTATATGTAAACTTATTTGTAACACATACTACTATAAAGTTTAGTTTCTGAAAAGTAGTAAATTGCTAATTTCTAGTTTTATATATGCCTATTTAAATATTTAAGGAAATTTTCAAATTAATTTTTAAATCATCTTCTAAAATAATGCAAATACTAATGTATTAAGTTTTATGCTTCAAAAATTTTATTTAAAGAAAGAGCATGAAAAATTTTTAAAATATATATTATTGGAAGTGTAAGAGAAAATGTCCTACAATACAAAGTCCAAAAGCTGGACATCCAATATCTGGAATAACTTAATACGGACCTCCAGCTAAAAAAAAATAATAAAATCATATAAAAAATACCCCCCTCTCCCCTTACAAAGTTTAGGAATGGAAAATATAATATTAAACAAAAGGAAGCAGGTGGGTCTTAAATGTGATTTTAGCAATGAGAGTAACAAAGTCTCCTTAGAATAAAGAGACCCTAAGACAGTGGCCACTCAAACAGGAGAATAAAATTCCCTGACTTTTCCAGGTTTTCCAGGTGTGTTTTAAGAAAATTCCAGTCTATCCATGTAATTCACGTTGGCTGTGCTAAGAGGTAAATTAATTATGGTATTAACTGAGAACACAAAAATTTGCCAATTACACATATGACTTGTGTATATATATACGAATATAATCCCCCAAAGCATTACTATTTTAACTGTAATAGGAATTGTTTTCTGCACTGAAGATTGAGATTAGAATCTGCCCAATCTGGATTAAAAAAATGTCCTTTTTTTTTTTTTTTTTTTTTTTTTTTTTTTTGCATACATTTTGCAGCTAAACAAAAGAAAGACATCTATTTAATGATATTTTTAAATAAATTCAAGTATTTCATATTTATTCAGCAGCATACATGACAAAAAAATATATGCATTAAAATTCGTGATGGTATGTCATCATACTGCTAGAATTAATTTCAGGGTTATACCAGAGAAAATTTCCTGAAATTTGAAAGTATTATTTACTAATAATAAACACATTTAGAGGGAAGAAGCAACAGTAAATGATACGAATAACAAAAATAAAGATAATTACTTAAACATTGAATTAGAATAATCAAGGATATTTTAGCGAATATAGTTATATTTAATGGTTAGCCTAGATGACTGATTACTATTTTTTTATTTTACTGCAAAATGACAAATAAGGCATTTTTAAAAAAGGAAAAAAAAAGTTTAAAACATTTTGCAATAAAATCCTAATATACGCCTTGGCACGTTTTTGAAAATTGTCGCCAACACCAAAATGACCCGTTTACTACTCATCATTATGTTGCCAAATCCCGTGTGTACCATACATGGAGGTTAGAATAGAATACGGAGGTTATTCTAACCCACAGAGTATAATGATATGTGTTCTAAACAAAGTACTCCATGTCATTATACTCCGTGTTCAAACCAAAGAACATCTATATAAGAAGGAAAGGTTCCACACATGTAATACTATTACGTCGCTAGAAAGTGGAGGGAAAATTCATCAAGGGATTTGATGACGGAACCTGGCGGTCAGAATTTCCCTCTCCGCAATGTGTACACGAAATTGAGGAACACGTGTTGAGAAGAAACATTCTTTGACAAAACGTTTCTTTGATTTTTCGAAATAACTTAAACACAGATTTTCGTCTGTCACACTATTGTAACAAGGAATGAATGTACCAAATACCAGTTTTTCTAGACACAGCACCATCTCCTTAAAATCATTTGCTTGGCAATGCTAAATCGCTATTTTGATTACTGCTTTTTCTTCCAATGACGCTGGCTTTTTAAAATTATTCATCTTGCCCACAACCTCTCTAATCTTTTCCTCTTGTCCCCATTATTTTGAAATTAAATAAAAAAAAATTAACAAAGCAAATTTATATTAAAATTTTCTGATTAAAATGGTAATAGTACTTTACAGCAAACTCACTATCAAAAATACATACAAATAGCAATAGCCATTATCTTTACAAGGAAAATGCAAAAGAAAGTGTGTTATCTAAGTGTGATGTTTCGACAGATGTGAAACAATCATTGTTCTTTAATCTAAAGTCGACTCACCACTAAGGAATAATGGTCACCTTGTTTACTACAGCATGCAGCAGATGATTTTTTGAATTTACACAAAGAAAACAGAATATTACTTTTGCGTAATAAACCTCTTTTTTTATAGATTTTTCTCCTAATGAAGCCGCTCCTTTTGCTACAGTTTGCACAAATTGATAGCTTTGTTTTAATTTATTTTTTGGTAGTATAGCTATTGCTTCAGCTTTTTCAAAAGACTCATAAAGTAGGATATCAGAGGGGGTCATTGATGTTAAACATAAATTTTTTAAATACTTCCCATTTTTCTTGTGTTTTTTTATCAATTCCTAGCATTTCTCTCCGCTTTATTTGCACAGATTCTTGAACAAGTGGAAATAGTTGCTTTTTTATATGTGCAATAAATTCCTTAGTCAACATCTCACCTCGCAAATGACAGGAAATAACCTTTTTCTGCTCTGCTTGATATTCTTCATAAGCATGTAAATTTTTTTGATATTTTCTGGTTCTGCGTCATAAGCAGCATAAAAATCATAAGGATTAAACATACCCAATTTTCTTTCGTCATCTATACATTGCCGCACTTCAGCGGTAATTTCAGCTAATTTTATAATAAACCGACTTCTTGCTGTATTAGAAAACTCTTTAATCAAGATCATATTTAAAACCTAAAATCTTTGTTTTGGTTTTAATCTTGTTTTTAAAGCTAAGACAAAAATTTAAGTACTTTAAAGTCTTGTTTTTATGCTAACTTAGAATCCTGCATGTCACTATTAAATATTTCCTGGTTAAGAAGGGCACTGCATCCAATGAAACTATAGATTGACATGTTGATGTTAGCCAGGATCACACTTTCAGCCCTTGATTGGTTGTGGGGTGTTAGCATTTTTCCTATCTGACTTAAACAATAAGTGATGCCCCAATGTTGCTCTGTCTACATATAACCTTATTAGATTTAAACTGATGATCTAAAATTCAGAAATTTCTGAAATTTTGATGATTCCAGATCTAGGATCTAGAACAAAACATGTACTGAAATGTTTTGTACAGCATAGATAGCTAGAATTACAAAAATATAAATTGAGTCTCTTGAATTTAGTGTCAGTGTCGTAAGAGCAAAATTACCATGTGAGTGTCTGAGCAGTCCAGTATACAACTCTCCACAAGCTCTGAAGCACACCTTCTGGAACATAACTCCATGGTTTTACGCACTCATTTAAAGATGAAAAAGCTGAAAATGATAAAACAATTTTTAAAAAAGTGGTTATATGCATAAAAAACACAACTGACAGAAGAAAATTTCTTCAAAGGAAGACATTTTTGACATGATGTGAAAAATTTCACCTTAAGTACACACTATTTAAATCCAAAGACCAATTATTTTTCATATCACCTGCATAATAACATGACTCATATCCATATTAAGTTGCATTGCTTTTAAATATTTTTAATAGCATTCTACAGCTTTTTTTAATAATATTCTAATTACAAAAGAGGAAAAATAACTTTTGTGTTTACTAGAATCAATATATATAGAGAGAAAATTCAGTACACAATACTTTTCATTTTAAATTGTCAGATACCTGTGAAGCACAGATATAATCATATTACTTGTGAAAATCACACTTATAGGAAGCTAAGACAATATGCATATAAATACAAATTCTCAATTTTTTATGTTATGTGGATTCAATGTCAAAAATTTTTGTTACTGATACTGTAACATCAGTAACCATTTACTGAAATACAGTTAAGATGACATTTATGCAATATTAGCAAAGTATAGAAGGGGTACAAAAGGCGAAAAAAGAAAAAAAAATTAAAGGCAAAAATCTTAGCAGTCATCATTCACGCTTTCATCTCTATGCAGGAAGCCACTTCCAGTAAATGAGGTAACTGAAGAAACAGACTGTTCAGTTTGAATGTTAAGAAAAAAAAAGAGCTTACCCTGTGAATTTTACATGAATCTCAAAAATCAAAGATATACACTGCCTGATAAAAAAAAAAAAATTATGCCTCATCATTACAAAAAATGCACTGACATGCAAATTTCTATCATAGCACACACATATATGTTATGAAACGACTTCATTTTAAATCTGGCCCAGCTGTCCTGTATGCAGATTACTATTAGCAGTCAGCCATGAAATGAATAGTTACAGAGATATCACAGTTTAAAGAAGGGCTAAATGGGCAATGTAGCTTTCAGTGATGAATCTCACTTCTTTCTCACAAATAATGATCAGTATATGAGGAGGTAAAGACAATGTGGTTACCTGGTGGATGCCTTTTACCATTGTTAAGTGAAACATGGCTCATTACTGAGAAATAATGGCTCAGGGCATAAATAATGCTAACAACCATCTACTTCTAGCATGCATTACATGCACATTATTCAGATGATGCTATGTAGATGACATACTGCAGACCCATCTCTTCCATATTCATTGGTTCATATGAAAATACTGCAAGGTATGCAAGTGCTCCCTTGGCTAACCCGATCCCCCCAATCTCTCACAAACTGAACATTTATGAGATATGAGCTGATTAAATACCACCCTTCCTTCATGAAGTGAAAATGAACTATGAGGTCATTTCAACATCACACAGTGCATAATACCAGAGGACATGACATAAACATTCACTCATATGATGCAACATTATGTTCAAGAATGAAGTGACTGAAACTGGGCTGCAAAATCTTATTAATGCCTTTTATATTTAAGTGCCCTATCATCAAACATGTTTGTAAATTATACTTGTTAACTGTTTGATTATCTATCTATATGCAGATTGGTCTGTTTCCAGTCATTCACTGATGGTGTGACATTTTCTCTGTTATGCAGTGCACGAATTAAAAATGAGAGTCTGTTAACCTGCACTAAAAAACTATAAATTAACAAAAAATTTCCAGTATAATATGTTCATTTAGTTTCCTGTTTATGAATATGTAAAAAATGTATTTGAAGCTCAAACGATATGAAAGCATCACATGTACTGAAATGTTTAAAAATGCTACAATTCTGAAAAGTTAATACAAAATCTAAACAATAAAAAATATGGTTCATTATATGGAAGATTTCCATAGTATTTTTCAGATTAACATTATGTACTAATACCTTCCCCAGCCAAATATAGTAATGTATTTATTCATTTCCCTACATTAGTTACACTTATTAAGATCAGAATACAAAAATATTAAACGTATATTTAGTGGCATTTTAATGCACAGATAAAACTCAACCAATATGCAGTAATAATACTAATGTACATACCTTCTAAAAAATAAAACTCATATATTACCACTATTAGTTAACCCTTTAACCCCTTAACTGCCATGGGCGTATATACATGCCTTGCTCATCCGATGCGTTAACTGCCCCGGGCATATATATACACCCTTCCAAAAATTTGCTTTGCGCTGCTACCTGTAAAATTATTCGCAAAGCTTTGGAATGCAACGCCACAATGACCTTGACAAAGTATGCGAAGGAGGATATTTCAGAAAAGTGTGGGGAGAAATTGGAGATGGGTGTGTCTAAAGCGGTGAAAGTAATGAATGGGCGGTATTGGCTGGTGCTCTTTGAGTAAACTTTTTTTTTTTTTTTTTTTATTCTGTGTCCTCTGCTTGCATTTACTTTTTTCAGTAGGTTCCAGGAATAAAGAAAGATATAACAGATGTGTCAAACCCATTTATCTTTTTTGAATTATTTTTTGATGACCTGCTCATGCTCATATTGTCACTGAAAACTTTTGTAGACGAGTATATGAACTAACACTTGCAAACAAAAATCAAGAACAAAATCGTGGCTTCAACCAGTCAGAAAATATATGTCTTTAGGCTACTATTTCACAAGGTCGAACACTGAAACCATGTTGCACTTAAAACTGTCGAAAAATGATTGATAAGAAACTCCCTTTTAGGGATCTTTTTATTACACACTCCATTTAGGGATCATTTTATTATACTTACATCTTTTTTATAACTTTTACTCAAAACATTAAATTTTGTCTATTCCATTTTTCTTTATTCTTTATTTGTGAAAGTAAAAAAACAGTTTTAGAAAGTAAAACTTGCACTTATTTTCCCACTAATACATCGCATAACTACGCACACCTGTGTGAAAAACCGTGGCACTGGGAAATGAATCTTGTATGTTTTCCGCGGCAGTTAAGGGGTTAAAATTAGCTTGGCCACAAAAACAAGTACGAAGAAAAAGAGTGATAAAATCTTATCATGGTGAAAACTCACTTTTATAGTCATGCATTTTACATTTTTCCCTGTTTCACAATAATTTTCCCAAGTCCCAAAGTTCATTGAAGTGCATTGTAAATACTACACTATTTCTATCTCTACCTAATAAAAGTACATATATTTTTTTACAACCACTGCAACATAAATAATTCTACAATTTCTTGTGTTGTTTATCAAAATATATTTATGGTATTTAACCCTTCAGAAGAGAATCATGATAGTGACCACATAATGAAAGCCACAATACATGCTTGACTTTCTAAAAGCAATTTTTTAGCCTTTTGATAAAAGTCCTCAGATTAAGAAAAAAAAAAAAAAAAAAAGAAAAAAGAAAAAAGAAAAAAAAAACCTCTTTCCTATCTGCTAGATCTTTTTTCAGTGGGTTTTCTCTCATCTAAATTTAATCCTAGCCAAGCCCCCTTACTTATTTTTTTTTTATTTTTTAATTATTTTTATTTTTTTTTTCCAAAATGCCCAACATCGAAAATTTCATTCTTGTGACTAATTTATGGAAGTAAAAATAGCCACTAAGGAAAGAATCTTAAATTTTGATGACAAGAAGAAAATTCTTAAAGAAGCTGAATCCTTTTAAAGTGAGTGAACTTTAACGTGTTTTTTAAACCCAAATTCTCATCCTAGTTGTTAATAAGTGATAATTCACAATGTGTGAATATTAAATTAATATATCTATGTGAACATACCGACCAATGGTTTAATATGTATACTTAGATACTAGGTCTTGCCATTAACAGCATTTCAAATTAGAGGAATATTGTTAAAATTGGCCTATCAGGTGACAGCCTTAGATGGAGATCTGAAAGCACACTTTAAAAGTGGTTTTCATAACACATTATTCTATACACAACAATTGCTATAGCAAAAGTTTAACTAAAAACACATTTAAAAATATAAAAGGAAAGAAAAATAAATGTTTTCCTCTAGGCTTAACTTCTAAAATATGTTTTACCTGAACATAAATTTTATAACCAAGAATGATTCACATTAAGACAATTTGTTTTTAGAGAGAAAAAAATGTAATCTTATCAACCAAATAACAAAAATTTAGTATAAAAACACAAAAATAAAAATTAAGTACTTGAAAAGAAATTTTATACAGTAAAAGAAACCATAAAATTATAGGAAAAGTCTATTTTGACAAATATATGAAAAAAATTTTTAAATATGCATGCAATTTCATATAAACTAATTAAATATTCAGCATAATTAAGGCACAAAATATTGAAGACTGGAATAAAAGGTACTGAAAAATTAGACCTGATCTTGAATCAACAAGGCCTCTGTGCCACAGGTCAATGTATAGAATACATTACCACACATCAATGTTTAGAATACACTACCACATGTCTGTATACATGAGCCAATGTTCACTGGGCAAAAAACAAAGGGAGGCACTTCTATATCTCCCATTCTACTGGGCCAACTGACAAAATTTAAATTGCGTTTTCCATGTATCGAAAACATGACTTAGGATATATATTAGATTTATATATAGCATTTTTTTAACATAGGTATTTTGACACAAAAATCGGACTTTTTCTGAAATGACAAGCCAATTTTTTTCCATATTTCAATTTTACCACTCAAATTATACCTAAATATTAAATTTTGTAAAATTTGGTGCAAAATTTATGGAGAAATTCAAAAATTTATCTTGCCATATTTTTTTCAGTTCGCAAGAATAATTACTTGGCGAACTTCTAATTTATAGAACCTATTTTCCTTCCTTTTTTCATTGAGACAGAGGAAAAAGTCCTCATTCATACTTTCAATGATTTACAAAGTACGCAACCAATTTAGCTTATTATCGCTCAAAACAAGATCCAATTCAAAATGTCCAAATGTAAATTCAGGTATATCGAAAATTGATAAGAAATTCTAATTGTTGCAGGTGTGCCTAGAAATGCATCTCTTTAGACGATGTTAAAATTTTTATAGATATAATACAAAATTTTTTC